TAAAGCAGATTAATTCCAGGGGAAGCCTGGCAGCCCCAGCCCCGGGGACAATAAATATGTGATCAGTGGYGCAGGAAGGTTAATGAAAGGAAGGGCTGTGCAGGAACAGGAGCTGGGCAGCCAGGGCTGTCACAGCAGGGCTGCAGCACACGTGGAAAAGCAGCACAAACCGGGCAAGTGGCACTGCTGGGCTTCATCAAGCTGCAGGTGCTGATTTCTCTAATGCAGGGAAAAGCTGAGCCTCAGCTCCAGGCACATTCCAGGKTGGGCTCTGCCACTCCAGAATCCCAAAGCTGGGCCAGGACTCTGCAGGGATTTCAAAGGGACCCYGAGCTGGGAARGGCAGCTGAGCCCTACARACCCCAGGGGCTCCGTCCCTAACACCAGCTCCTGCCAGGATCCTTCCAARATCYTTCAAGATCCCTCTAAGATCCTTCCAAATCCCCTCCAAACTCCAAGATCCTTCCAAGCCCCTTCCCTACAACCCACACCCYATCCAGGCTCAGGCAGGAGAGGAAAGTTGGATTTACTGGCACAAGATTCAGGCCCTGAGTTGTCTATGCCTGCATCCCTGACAACCAGACCCACATGGACAGTTGGGAAGGGGTGGGAATTCACCCCTCAGGAGGAAATGGCAGAGTCATTTTGCTGTCCACAGCCTGGCTACCAGCTTAGGAACAAGGCTGGGCTGTTGTTACCCCTTTCCTCCTCTCTGTCCTCTGGGAATTAACTCATGGGGCACTTTAAACACATGGAAGGGAAAAGAAGTCTCAAAGAAAAATCAACTTTTACAACACRGATGAAGAGGTGGGAGAGGCAGTGGTTCATGAGGAGAGCCTTGGGCCCATCTGTGGCATGGGCAGAGCCCCAGGCTGAGCCCAGGACACTGAGCCCAGGCCACTGCAGCCAGGCTATTCAAACCAGGCCATTCCAGCCAGGATATTCCAGCCAGGCCATTCCAGCCAGGCCATTCCAGCCAGGATATTCCAGCCAGGCCATTCCAGCCAGGCCATTCCAGCCAGGATATTCCAGCCAGTATGTTCCAGCCAGACCATTCCAGCCAGGCCATTCCAGCCAGGCCATTCCAGCCAGGATATTCCAGCCAGGATATTCCAGCCAGGA